TGGGTGCGATAGTAGACTCCAGTTATAAGATTATAAATTAAATTTCCAAGAGAAAGTCGGTTCTTTACATATTTTCTAATTACCTTCGAAAATATATTAACTCAAAAAAAAAATAAACAATGCTTCATAGATCGATTTTTTTTAAATCTAACTTCATAAAGTTCTTTAAAAATATTTTGTAAATGAGGCCATAAGAGCTTAGGGGGAGAGTTACAACACAAAAATACATTTAAGGCGCAGCGAAGCACGCCGGGTAATTGCTAGTTTTCATACAAATAATCTTGCGAAGTTTTATTTTACCACTCATTTTTTCGTATTTATCCATCGATTTTCTTGATCAGTAACCTGATTTTTTTTTTGTAACAGAACAGGCTTTAGCACAAATGCAAAAATTTGGCACATTACCATTATTTTTCACATTTTTCTTCTGTTAAAGTTTGATTTTTTAATTTTTTCATTAAAAAATAAAAATGGCTGGAATGATTAATTAATTTGTCAGAGACTCTAAGCCCTGTCTGAAAGTGATGTATATAAGGTTTATGGAGAATTTCATTGGCTTTAATTTGCTGTTTTTTATATTAATATTTTTAATTGGTTCGTAACCTTTTTTATAGGTTTTTAGGTCCTAAAAATCCGTTCCCTGGTAATAAGTTAGTTGTGAATCATATACTTTTTGAAATAAGCTAGTGACTTCATTCATTTTCAGTCTCTTTCTTATGTGTATTTACATTCACGTTGGCAAAATTTAAACCACCCTCGAAATTGCAATTTATCTTTAGGCATACGTTAAAACTAAAAATTGCCCTTTTAATTTTTGCAATTTAAAACAGCGCGCTTAATTTTTTATTGGATTAAATAAGCAGAAAGACGCACAAATAAGCACAGACTTCAAGCCAAATTGTCAAAGAGTATATATCAGGGCTACTCATAATTAAAATAAAACGTGGTGCATTTTTTCACTAAAATAGTATATTTTCATAAAATAATTTTTAGCAATCTGTTAACCCCAAGAATTGAGCCATCTGCGTCATCAAGATGGCGGACAAGGCTGATGTCGTAACCTTTTATTCTATGAACCTTGAAGTTTACGTATCTCGGCGCTTTTTTCGTATCATTTTACCGTCCCTACAGTGCTATTAAAGAGAAAATTTACAGCGACTTCAGATTTTTATTTTTAACTAAATATTGATTGATAACTCATACGCCGTTGCATACCAGAAATTTATGCTGGTGAGAAAGTAACCAATCAATTTATTTGAGTTCATTAGTAAAAAAAAAAATAAGTTAAACAAAAGTAAAAACAAATATTTTCAAAGTAAGCTTTCTAATATAAATGAAATCGGAACATAAATACTGGTTTACCAAATATATCGACTACTACGCCACCTATCGGATTAACTCAACTTTCGTATTGCACTGTCATCGGGTTCTGAGCTAACTATCTGCCTAAGTTACTCGTATGGCATGACGTATGAGTTACCTAACAACTTTGACGTTTTAGTGCGGTCGAAGTAGAAGCCTTATTAAGTCGCTGCAAATATTTTGTTTATTAAATTATTTTTACGCATTAAAAACAAAGTTCCCTGCTTACCAATAATATTGAATTTTATGAGTAGCGCAGCAGTAATTGAGTTATATATATATATAGAGGGTTATCTGTACATTCGTAGTACTCAAAAATTGTACTTCTACCCTTCGCCAAGGCATTACTAATTTTTTTACTTCAGTCAATATCGCATTATATGTACATACATATGTACATATTTGGTGTATGTACTTATTTATTAACGTTTTTGTATTTGCTGACAAAATTTATTTGCACGGAATACTATAAATTAAATGAGCGGCATCCATCCGCACGAGGCCTTTAATTTGTGGCACCTCCATACAATCACATAAAAGAATTCAGCCATAAAATTGTTATAAGTATTTTTCATGTATTGTGCAAGTGACGCCACAACCAGTTGCCTCAAGGATTTTTATTTTTGTACATTTGCTTCTAACAAATTTCTCACTTTCCTTGAACTAAATGTGAAATGAGAAATGTGCCAAAAATATGACCTTCATTTTATAAAAAAAAGCAAGCAAGCCCGTTGCAAGACCAAAAAAATGTGTACATATCTACTTACAAATAGACTTTTACATTCATGCATATACATACATATGTACGTACAGTTTAAACTTTTTAAGAGTAAATCTCTTCTAAAACCATTAGGGCTGAAGATATTTATTTAATCCTTGAATGTCCTTTTTTGATAGAATTATGTTTGAGTTAAAAGCTCTTTTGTATATTAATGTTCCTAGTAAGCACTTAGGCTAATTAGTGGATTTTAATTCGTTTGTATAATTTCCCTAGTCAGCACTTCTCTCCGCTTGGTTGCGTAAAGGAATGCGTTTGAAATAAATTCCTCACATAACACGTCGACTGAGCCTGTATTGTGCTTTAATTTTGATGCTCACGTACTTTCATAAGCATATATTTATTTCTATTATGACCAACTCACATAAAAAAGGTACTTATTTAGTTAAAATAAATATTTTTTTAATATGATCTTAAAGAACGAGGTTGATTTTTAATTACAAGTAAAACTTTTTAGCGTTGGTAGGCATTAAAAATTTTGTGAAACTAGCGTTGCAATGGAGATACATCCATTATCTCTTTTTCTATTTTCGCGTTTAATAATATTCAGAATGATTTATGGAAATGTGCTATGCAGAGGTTTAAAGTTTAGACTAAGACTAAGCCAAGGCTAAGGAAAAGACAAAGACGAATACGAAGATGACAATGAATACGAAGATGAATATGAGTTCGAAGACGAATACAAAGTTAAGTACGAATATAAAGACGAATGCGAATACGACGAAAAATAATAGGGTGGAATACAAAGACGAATACGAAACTAATACGACGAAGGCGAATGCAAATAACATAAGTAATACGAAATCGAACATGAAGACGAAGTCGAAATCGAAACCGAAACTGAATACGAAGTCGGGTAGTATATGAAGATGAAGGCGAATATTGAATCATACGAATCCGAAGCTCAATACGGGTACGAATGCGAAATTGTCAACTATAGCAATTATAGCAACTAAATATCCTAAAAGCGCTTTACTACCTACCGAAATACTAATTGAAAGATCTGAAATTCGTTAGTCCGAAGTATTTCAGGTTAGGACCAACATAGAAGCTACGGAAATTTTAATCAGAATAGTATTGGTGACCGAAGCCTAGAATATACTTGAATTGTGGAGAGACCGATTCGCAACCGGCTGATTTGCAACTAGGTCAGTAGAGGAGATGGCAATGATCCCTCAGTCGAGTATAATGGAGTCGATATCCCAATATGACTTTTATTCATAATATGGTCGGATGATCGCATGGCTGCCATCTCGAATTTACTGATGCTCTACTCACGCGAAACCAACATATTCTGGTTTCTGATGCAAAAGCATGGACAATGACAATGTCAGATGAGACGGCTCTTTGACTATTCGAGAGAAGATTTTGCGGAATATTTACGGACCTTTAGGCATTGGCGACGGCGAGTAACGCAGACTATGGAACGATGGGCTGCATGAGCTCTACAACGACATGGACATAGCACAGCGAATTAAAGTCCAGCTACTCCGCTGGCTACGACATATCGTTCGAATGGACACCGACGCTCCAGCTCTAAAAGTATTTAACGCGACTCACGATGCTGGTAATATGGGAAGAGGAAGGCCTCCTCTGCGTAGGAAGGACCAGGTGGAGAAGGACTTGGCTTCATTGGCTTTTCCAACTGGCGTCAGTTGGCACAGAAGAGAAACAAATGAAGTGCTCTTTTGGACTCGGCCAAAATCGCTTAGGCGGTTACAGCGCCAATAAAGAAGAAGAAAAGTGTTATTATAAAACCCTTGCAGTTGTAGTTAGTTGAAAAATTCATATTTCGATAATTCCTGGAAACGCATTAAAAACTACATTCAACCGAAGCATAGTTATTGGAAAGTGATAGAAAAAATAATTTCAGCAAACTATAAACATTGCAACCATGAATATTAGCATATTATCAGCTAGTTTCACCAATTTATTTACATTTTACTAAAAATTTTTATCAAACAAATATGCATGTAAATATTTTTGCAGTTTTTATAGAATTTAATTTCAGATATTATAAAATATGGAAATGAACTGAAATTCTATACAATTTATCTTTAGAAGCCGGCAATATCGTTATTTGCAAATTTTTGGTATTTACGCACATTTACATACAATACATGTCTGATATGTATGTATGTATGCATATACAAAATATATTAGCTGCGAATGAAAACTGAACATGCATATGTATGTAACGCTTTACGTCCGATTTATGGTCTACATAATCGACCAAGTGAGCAAACAATTAATGCGATTGTGACCAAGTTTCGCACTCAGTTTACTTTATTGGACATTAAACCAACCACACGAATGCGTACAGTGCGTACAGAAGAGAATATTGCGTCTGTTTCTGAGAGTGTTGCTGAAGACCGTGAAATGTCGATTCGTCGCCGTTCGCAGCAATTGGGTTTGCGAAACACATTTCGAACCGAACACTGATTTTGGTAATAAAATTCAATGATTTGCAAGCGTTGCTTGTTAGTAAGTCTATTCATGATGAAATGTCAAAGCATACTGAGCATCTTTCTCTTTGACACCATGTCTGAAATCCCACGTGATCTGTCAAATACTAATGCATGAAAATCCTAACCTCAAAAAAATCACCCGTTATGTATGTAAATACAAATTTTTATTGACGTTATGGATGTTAAGTTGATATGCTGTCGATTCAAATAGGAATTTTAATTATTGCTTCGCGCACTTGCTTTGAGTGTACGAAATACGCATTGTAAGTAAAAATATGTAATAAATAGTTAACATGAAGTTATATACAAAATATATATATATAGTAGGGTGGTCTAAAATTTGCAAGCAAATTTTATTGTGTGGCATATTCCTATATGTATTTATTGTTAACGCTGTTTTAGCAACTCAATCAAAGATTTATTTTTGTAAAATTAAATATATGGAAAACTTCAAGTCGTGCCAAATTGAAATTTTCTGTGCAAAATAGTGCAGAGCCTTAATTTTTCAAACCGATCTGAATAATGCTAAATAAAGTTTTTAAGTTTTAAAAAGATTTATCTAACCTGATTTTTAAATTTTTATTTTTTTATATTAAAATTTTTTAGTGCAAATTGCAAAGGTTTTCGAAATTAAAAAAAAAAATCGATTTTCCTGTTGCTGTTAATGAATGCTACTAAAAATGCTAATAAAAAGTAATCGAATACAATTATAGGATACTAAAAAAAAATTTACGTGAATTCTTAGCCACTTTTAACTTGCGCCTTTTTATGTTATAATTTGAAAAATTTAAGAAAGAAATTAATTTTGGCCAACATGTCGATTTGTTTGCATTTTTTTCCTTTTGGGAGAACCAAATAATTGTGTTGAACTACTTTTTATTATGTAACGTTCATTTACAGGAACAGGATGATCGATATTTAAAAAAAAATCCTATATATTTCCGTTTGTACTTTTGGACCACCGTAACATATACATATGTAGATATGTATGTAGTATGTATGTATGTATACACAAACAGTAAGTAAATTTGTGCGCATAATTGTGATCGATTATAACATTTTTAAAAGTGACTTTTAAGATAAATTTTTTTAATTAAAACTGCTCATTTTTGCCAACAGATGGATAAAATCAGATAAAAATATATGAATGTATATACATACATATATATATGTACGTAAATACTATGGTTATTGCTAGCGCTTTAATTTACATAGCGTCAGCAATAAAAAATAAAAACTTATAGTTTGACATCGTTCAACTGAGGAAATTTTCCCGAGCTAACTCAAACTCTACCTCAATTTATTGTGCCAACTCAGTGAGGATAAATTTCCGCGCGAGTCACAATATTTTTGGGGAAGTGAGCCTAAGCTTGCGACTTATTGCTGAGACTCAGTGCTGAATTATTTCCTCTTCCCGCAACTAGATCGCTCTGTAATCGAACACGGGCGAGTCGATTTCTCTTTGGTTACCAAAATATTAAAGTCGGACTAGGTCGCGGAGGTGCGGCAGGCTATGAAGAACTAGTGAAGGATTTTCTGAAAAAACGTCGAAGAGTATCAATAATTCTCCAGTTTTAGAGGCATTGGCACGAATAGTTTTGGAGATCGTTTGAAGATATTTGAGATACGATGTAGAAAATATATAGAAAGCTAGCGAGATTCGATAGGCTTCTCCCAGAGCCAAGACGACGCGGTATATCTGCACTGTCTAAGATGGCTCACTACCTACATATGTAACTGTCATCTTCCATGGGCGATGAACTCTTTCAAGCCCTCCAATGGCATTTAACTTGCTTAACTGAAGAAAACTGGCTCCCTTATAAAATAGCGGGAAATTTCGCCCCTTACTCTGATTGATTTAAACGAGCAATTCGGCTCTAATGATTTTGATGAAATTTTGTATTCAGATGACGGTTCGCATTTTAAGGCTATCTGTATTGGTGTTATCTCCGAAAATATTCGTATAGGGTTGGGCATCAAATAGAAATAATTTAAAATAAACCCGAATTCAGAAATATTTTGGAATAGGGTTGCCACTTATTTTCCTTCTTATGTTTATTAAATATTTTGTTAAGAAAATTAAGATACAATATTACTATGGGTACTAAAAAAAACTCAAAAATAATTATTTGCGTACATAGTATGTGTTATCCCTTAGGATATTAGATTTTACAAAATTTTAATAAAACAATTTAATATGGATAACAAATGAAAGGTATTTTTGAGAATTGAAATCCAGAAATATTTTCCATGAGGGTTGCCCCGTTATTTTTTATTTTTTTTTTGTAATACAAGCTTTTATCTTATTAATTTAATCG